ATAGGAAATATATTACAAGATATAGAAATAGATAAGAGCATTATAAAAGGTAGCTCATTAAATTAACAAGAAGCATTAAATGAAGTTAATATATTTCTGTACAGCAAAGGAAATGACAATCAACTGGAAGTAACCTATAGATTGGAAGAAAATATTTGCCAGCATACATATGACAGGTTAATGTCTAGAATAGAAAAGAAAACAAAAAATGAATATTAAGAACAAACAACACAATTAAAATGAGCACTGTATTATTGAATAAATTTTCATTGCACATATGTACCACATTTTCATTATCCTTCAGCTGAAGATAATTTAGACTTTTTCTGTTTCTAGATATGGTAAATAAAGCATCAATAAGCAAGGATAAAAATATATCTCTCAGTAAGACAAAGGCCCTAAAAATACTGAAGCTATTCAATTATCTTATATAAGTGAAGATCACCATCCTTAAGGGATGATTGAATGGGAACTTGAGCCTACTATATAACCACATTTGCTTTTCATGTCAATCAAAACACAGAGAATAGACACATTCTTCTTGGAGCAATTGAAATCAATAGGTTATAAGCAAAATGTGGTTATTTTACACAATCAGAGCAGGCAGAATTCTGTCTAAAATACTGGATACAACCTTAGATTCCCAATTATTATGTTCACATTCAAAAATATAAGTTAATCATCTTATGAGCCCAAAAGCTTAGACAATAAGGATCCCTGGAGTAGAAAGTTTGTGTTGCATTATCATATATAGAACTTCATAAAATAAATGACTGCCTATTTTGGAGCTACAAGGTAGAAAGGAATTACAAATACCAACAATGACCTCATTACTAATGGTAAACCCATAGAATAGGACATTAGAAAGTAATCTTACTTATATGGAGAAAAATTGAGATAATGGTGGCAGAAAGTACAATTATAGTTTTCATGGAAAGGTAAGAAGATAAAATGAGTGAACATGGATAGGAGCATGGGCTATATTTCTATTGGCTTGAGGAAACATTAAACATGCCATCTGCTTGCCGTATTCCTGCACTTTTTGTTGGCACACATAGAAAATTGACTTATGAAGTTTAAACTTTTCCAGAAGGTTGTGTATATGGCCTAAATCCTTTTATATATACTCGGTCATGTTGAATTGAGATGCTGTATTTGGAAGCCATTCCACTGTGTGTGATATTCTATGACCTCATTCTACTTAAAACTACTGTTGGATGGGCTGAAGACATAGCTTCATCATTAAAGGTTAGGCTCACAACCAAAACTTTCAAAACTATCCAGAGTCTCTTGTGTAAATTTTTGTTGTGTGAGACACTTTAAGTCATTAGCAATGAAAACAATGCCTGATAACTTGACATGGTTTTCAAGTCAGCGTCTTCATTTCTCTCTTTAACAACGTGGGCTCCAGTCAAACAGAAGCCTGTTCATTACTTGAATAGTCAATGGGTGGGCATCTTTCCTCTTTTTTAGTTTTCTTGTGACTACTATATGTTTATTTGTTTTGTTTTGTTTGTTGTTGTTCCTTAAACTTTACCTTCCCCTAAATACAGGAAGGAATAATCAGTGACTATATATGTTCTCCACAAGAAATTCCTGAAGTAAATTGGTCCTAGAAAGGTCCTGGCTAATTACAATGTCTTTAATGAGTTATATACAGGATCTGGACTCCTAAGGGATGCAGGGCCTCTAAGGCCCAAAATATCCATACGGTGGTGTGAATAGGGAGAGGTAGATAGGCAATTACAGAAGAGGCCACTAGTTCCTGTGCCTGTAAATAAAATAAAGTTGAGAAGGATCCTGAACTAAAAACTTTGACTGAGCACTGGAAGAGCTAGGTAAATTCAAGAGAGTGAGTTGGTATCTTGTTCTCAATCCAAATGAACTTTCAAGATCAGACAGAATATTTTTAAAGGTATGATAATATTCTTCTTTTCTCTGTCTCCCAAGACATCATCAAATGGAGAAAGTATTGGTTTTATGGTCATCATATAAGTGCTTTCATATTGATGGTTTCATTATAATTACTCATTCTGGAATTTTCTCTCAATAGTTTACCATTTCACCACAAGAGCAGTGCTGTGGGATGGAGTTTTCTGCTGTGGTGCTGAACGGTTGTTTATGATACACTGACTTATGGGGTATTAGCAAACTCTGAACAATGTCTTACCTAAGGTGAAGATTAGTTTTGTTGCACAAGTTCACAAATCAGTGCTTTAGTAATAGCATCTGTGAATATTCCTAAGTGCAGTCCATCAAGGGAGACATCAATATCATGTAGGTAATTATGCAAAAGTACAAGAAGAGTTACTTTTTCAAACTCAGTGCTTCTAGAGAATCTAAGAAAATGTGCAATTGTACCCAATGTTAGAAACATATCACATGGGATTTTTTTGTGCTGTTTAATTTCAGAATGGTGAGCTGAATATCTAAAGATGGTATGAAGTCAAATGACCCATCACTAGTAACAGTTGAGAGCAATTTATCTGGTTTCTGATCTATGCACTTGTTTACGTAGACAAAGGTACTGTACATTAACAAAAGAAGGAGAAACTAGGCATGGTGGCATATGCCTATAATCCAGTGCTCAAGCTGGAGCACTGCATGTTGGAGGCAAGTCTTGGATAGATAAGGGAAGCAGCTTTATATAGAGACCATGATATTTTTCCTACAGTTTCCCCCCTCTACAATGCTAATCCATGAGGTCTAAGTGTTCAAATTCTAAATTCATCTGTGTTGAACATGGTTAGGCTATGAAGATGCAAGCATTCAGACTTGGGTGTAGAATTTCAAGATACTTGCTTAGACTTCTTGATGCTTCTCCTCTTTTGTCATCTTAGAGACAAAAAGGGTTCATTAGTCAGTGTTGTTCAGACTCAAAGAACAGTGGGTGTGTGAGTGTGGTGTGGGTGTGTCCTTGCGTGTGATTTAGTACACAGAATGCCATGTATTTGCGGCCAACAACGCCAAAATTTGAAGACCTCCCAAGAATATTGAAGTCCCTGAGAAGAGTAGAGGATACAGACATGTATCTAAGGTAAAATATGAAAACCTTTCATTAATGGACTGTCTTTTGCCTAATTCTTTCATCTGATTGCATAAAGATCTTCATGTTATGAAGTACTGCTTACTTTACTTAAAGTCTACAAATTAATGACATTTTATACTGCCTTCATAGCAATCAGTATTTTTCCAAAATTAACATCATGCTTAAATTGTCTTGATGCATGAATTAATCATCACACACAGAATAGACATATTTGTAATAACTCAAGTGAAGGTTCCAAACTAATGTTGCCATTTCCTTGTCATAGCTCATAAAAATGTGGTCATATCTGTCTACTATACCAATTCCAATGACATTTTGTGGATTAAAGCATGTGGATATGATTTAGAGTCATCAGTATTACTGAGGTGTGATAAAGATGACTAACCCTCAGCCTGTAAAATGCAATATTAGATCTCTGACACTCATTATAGAGTGTAAAATTCAGGATAACTGGTCAAGTCTTTCAATTATAATTAGGATGTTCTCCTTTGTGTTTAAAGAAATTTGCATCAGTTTGAGAACCAGGTAACATTGTCCAAATTCATGTTTGATACTGAATTAATGTAAATGTAAGAATGAATGTAAATGACAAAATGAAATAAAATCTAGTGTGACCTTTCCTTCGTATAGTTTACAACCAATGGGAAGATAGCTTAAAGCAGTGATCAAATTATTAAGTGCACAGAGTATGTATAGGATGCAAAAGGAGTTATTTGGTATGGGGAGACAGGATAAATTTAGCTGTGTATGTGATAAACAATAGCTCTTACATATTAATAAATATGAAATAGATAAAGAAGAAAGAGAAGGGAGGAAGTACTAGGCAAGTGGAGGAGTAAATCTAAAATTGGGAGGTGAAGAGTTTTACCACAGTATTGATAAAGAGAGAAATCCAAGTGTTAATGAGAGAACTCTTAAGGAAGGATATACCTTGGTACACATTAGATAATGAAACAGCACTAGTGTCCAGATAATGAAATGAGGTTTGTTTCCCTGACAGGAGCTTTGTCCTTATCCTCACAGCAACAGTGGTAATCTGAAGAACAAATCAGACAAGAGATGATGGAACTCCTGTGTTAGAATCCTACAGTGTAAATGAAGCATGTCAAAGGAGAAGAGAATGGTCAGGAGACAAGGGGATGTGGAGATGAACTGAGTCTGCTTCCATATTCCAGTAAAGGCACGATCTGATCCTCATATACAGATATAATCTTACAGAAACATATGGATTAAATAGAAGGAGAATGAAAAGAAATTTTGTATTCTGTATAAGAGCAGTTCAGGGTAAGGAAAAGTGAGTGGATCAAAATTTACAAATTTCTGACTCAAATTTAATTTCTTTCACTCTACTATGGGACTCTGGAGAAGAAAAAGAATGAGTAATGTTTTAGAAGAAAACAAAGTGAAGACATGACTTTAACATGGGCTTGTGAGTTTCTGATACCTGTCATGCATGCAACGGAGGGACGATATTTGTGAAAGTGAAGCAGAAATATTTATGTTACAGAGACACAGGTGTCTGAGTTAGAAATAGCAATATGTTAGAGCATGGGAACTTCTTTTGAAATTTATGTAAAATTATGATGATAAAGCTCATCTAAATTTTTCAGGAATACCAATATACAAAATAGCACATAGCAAAGTGTAAATGAACAAAAATGTTACCCAGAATATACAGACAGAAGGACAGAGAATCATTAGTCCATTTAATATATCAGTAGAAATACATAGAACTGTCTAGGAAACCATGTAAAATGGAAATCTGATAAAGACAAGTTTTGAAAAACAATTGATGGTTGTAATGAATATAGACAGATATTTAGAAATTGAGATATATTTATGATAAATATCAGATACATTGTTGTAGAATATACATCATGGATATATACTTACTTTTATTTTGAATTTAATGGACCCTGATATTTTCTCCTTAGGATATTGGAGATGAAAAATGATAATGAGCAATCAAACTTTCATCTCTCACTTCCTCCTCCTGGGCCTGAATATCCCACCTGAGCACCGACCCCTTTACTATGCCCTGTTTCTGTCCATGTACCTCACCACCGTCCTGGGAAACCTCATCATCATCATCCTCATTCTACTGGACTCCCATCTCCACACACCCATGTACTTCTTTCTCAGTAATTTGTCCTTCTCTGACCTCTGCTTTTCCTGTGTCACAATGCCCAAACTGTTGCAGAACATGCAAAGCCATGGCCCATCTATCCCCTATGCAGGTTGTCTGACACAAATGTACTTTATAATAATTCTTGTAGCATTGGAGGGCTTCCTTCTTGTGGTAATGGCCTATGACCGCTATGTGGCCATCTGCTTCCCCCTTCATTACACCAGCATCATGAGTCCCAAGCTCTGTGTGAGTCTGGTGGTGCTGTGCTGGATGCTGGCCACACTCCATGCCATGCTGCACACCATACTCATGGCCAGATTGTCATTCTGTGAGGACAATGTGATCCCCCACTTTTTCTGTGACATATCTGCCCTGCTCAAGTTGGCCTGCTCTGACACTTATATTAATGAACTAATGATATTTATCGTTGGAGGGCTTTTAAGTGTCATCCCATTCTCACTCATAGTTGTGTCCTATATGCAAATTGTCTGCTCCATCCTAAAGGTTTCATCTGCTCGGGTTATCCACAAGGTCTTCTCCACCTGTGGTTCCCACCTGTCTGTGGTCTCACTGTTCTATGGAACACTTATTGGTCTCTACATATTTCCATCAGCTAATAACTCCAATGTAAAAGAGACAGCCATGGCCATGATGTACACAGCAGTGACTCCCATGCTGAACCCCTTCATCTACAGCCTGAGGAACAGAGACATGAAAGAGGCCCTGATAAGTGTCCTTTGCAAGAAGAAAATCTCCTTATATTAGCAGCGCTGGGAGTTTTGTTTAAATTTATCTAGTAAACATATGTTATTAATATTACAAAATGTATCTCTGAAATGAAACAAGCATTCAGTAACATAATACATAATATTTCCACCACAAACAGAAGCTTTCAAAGTAATTCGCTTATGGAATGGAACCTTAGTGATTCAGTGATGCCATACTATTTCTTGTATGATTCTAGAAAATCATTAGGTTAGAGACATTGTTTTATCAGATCACCATACTGTGCGTTATTGTTACTCCAAGGTTTTGTGATTTTATGCAAAATTCTATGTTGACTGCAGTATACTTTAAAATATGAATAAATGGTATATAATAATCATCTTAGGTTAATGAAAGTAATCATTTCCTGTTTATTTATTCTTCTCTCATGTCAATGCATTCAAGGCTATTCCCTATTTTCTCTTCTATTAGATGCATATTAAAGTTTAATATTGAGATCTTTGATCCACTTGGTTTGAGTTTTCTGCTGGGTGATAAATACAGATCTATTTACATTGTTCTAAATACTGGCATCCAGTAATACCAGCACCACATGTTCAAGATGTTTTCATTTTCTTTTATACATTTCTGGCATTTTTATCATAACTCAGGTGTCCACAAGTATGTTGATTTATGTCTAGGTCACTGGTTCTATTCCATTGATCAACGTGCCTCTGTTTATGCTGATACCATGTTTAATTTATTACTATAGTTCAATACTACAGGTTGGAATCAGTGGTGGTGATACCTCTAGAAGTTCTTTTACTTTTCAGGACTGTTCTAGCTATCCTGGGTTTTTGTTTGTTTGTTTTTCATATGAAACTGAGTATTATCCTTTCAATGTCTATAAAGGATCATATTAAAATTTTGAAGGGGGTTGCTCATGGTAGGATGACCATTTTTACGATGATAATACTACCAATCAATGAGTGTGGTAGATCTTTCCATTTTGTTTTATCATCTTCAATTTTATTCTTGAAAGACTTGAAGATTTTTTTCATACGAGACGTGTGCTTGCTTGATTAGGGTTTCCCCAAAATATTTTGTATCCTTTGTGGTATCGTAAAAGGTGTCGCTTCCTTGATTTCTTTCTCAGTCTGTCATTTGTATTTATGAAAGCTATCGAAATTTTGAGTCAATCTCATATCCAACCACATTGCTGAAGGTTGTTTATTAGCTGGTATAATTTTGGCTGTTGCTCACATATATCATATCATCTGCAAATAATGAAAGTTTAACCACTTCCTTTCCAATTTTTATGTCCTTGATCTCCTATAGTTGTCTTACTTCTGTAGCTAAAATTTCAAATAAACAGTACTGACTAGATATAAAGAGAGTGGAAAACCTTGTCTTGTTCCTAATTTAGTGGAATTGCTTTGAGTTTCTCTCGGTTTAATTTGATGATGGCCACACGCTTGTTGTGAATTGCCTTTGTCATCTTAGGTGTGTCCCTTGTATCACTAATCTGGAAAAAAACAATTTAAAGGTCTTGGGGGCATCTGATGAGGTAATCACATGTTTTTTTTTTCTTTCAGATTGTTTCTATGGTGGATTACCTCAACAGATTTTCATATTTTGAACCAGCCCTACATCTCAGGGATGAATCTTACTGTGCCATAGTGAATTGTAGGAGCCTGCTCCAACAAAGTCAGTTAGGGTTCCTGGACTGGGGGAACATTAACACATAAGAAATGTCAGATGAAAGAAACTGAGACAGAAAATACAGGATAGAATTGGGAGGTCTGTTTTGTCATGTCAAAATAGCCAAACAGCCCAGAGTTTGTTTCAGAGTTTGCTGTTATTTAGATTAATGGCAGAAGGCAGAACAAAGAGTAATACAGTCAGCTAACCATGTCCCTGCACTGTCCTTGGGAGGAAGCATAAGCAGGTGCATAGCTTTCACAGGAGATCAGCTAACAGCAAACAGTTTTCTTTTGTCTACTTTTTAATAGATAATGTGTTCTCTTATGGTGGGCAAAGTTCTCTTTCCCATGGGCTTTCTAAGAACCTTCTCCCAGTCCTTAAGGATGCAGTCATAGCAGGTAAACTTGAACTCAAATGACGTAAGTCAGAATTGACTCTAGATCAAAACTAAGACACACATGGGCTCCCAAAGTGCATGATCTTTTTTGATGTGTTCCTAGACTCAGTTTTTATTTGTTGAGTATTTCTGCATCTATTTTCATGAGGGAAATAGATATATAATTCTCTTTTGTTGTCGAATCTTTATATGGTTTGGATATCAGTGTGACTGTGGCCCCATAATATTAATCTGGCAAAGCTCCTTCTGTTTCTGTTTTGTGGAATAATTTGAGAAATGTTGCTAGCTCTTTCTTGAAAGTCTGGTAGAATGCTGCATTAATGCCGTCTGATCCTGGGCTCTTTTTTATGACTTTTTTAATGACTGCTACTATTTCCATAGGAATTATAGGTTTATTTAAGTTGTTTATCTGATCTTGATTTAACTTTGGTAAGTGGTATCTATGGAAAAATTTATCCATTTCTTCTAGTTTTTTGAATTGTGAGGATTACAGATTTTAAAAGTATGACCTAAAGGTTCTTAGGATTTCCTTGGTATCTATTGTGATGTCCCCCTTTTCATTTCCAAATTTGTTAATTTGGATAATCTCTCTCTGCCTTTTAGATAGTTTGGATTAAGGTTTGACTATTTTGTTGATTTCCTTTTTTAAAAAAAATTAACATTTTGTTTCATTAATTCTTTTGTATTGTTTGCATCTCTTTGTATCTATTTTATTATTTGTATCTATTTTATTGTATTTGTATCTATTTTATTGTATTTGTATCTATTTTATTGTATTTGTATCTATTTTATTGTATTTGTATCTATTTTATTGTATTTGTATCTATTTGTTTCTATTACCTTGATGTCAACTCTGTTTCCTATCATCTGCTATTCTCGAGTGTGCTTGCTTCTTTTTCTAGGGCTCTCAAGTATCTTGTTAAGTTGCTAGTATACGCTTTCTAAAACTTTATGTAGGCATTTACTGTTAAGAGCTTTTCTCTTATCACTGCTTTCATTGTGTCCCATAAATTCAGGTATGTTGTGCGTTCATTTTCAATGAATTCTAAGAAGGCTTTGACTTCTTTCTTAATTTCTACCTTGACCCAGCAGATATTTAGTAAAGAGTTACTCGGTTTCCATGATTTCTAGGCTTTCTGATGTTTGTACTGTTCAAATCCAGCTTTAATCTTAGGTGATCTGGTAGGATTCCCGGTTAATTTCGATTTTCTTGCATCTGTTGACACTTGCTTTGTGACTGATTATGTGGTCAATTTTGGGGAAGTTCTGTGATGACCCGAGAAGAGGGTATATTCCTTTCTGTTTGGATGAAATGTTCTGTATTTATATATTAGGTCCATTTGGCTTTTAATGTCTGTGAGTCCAAGATTTCTCTGTTTAGTTTTTGTCTGGATGACCTGTGAGTTGGTGAGAGTAGAGTTTTAAATATTCTAAATGTATATAGTATCCGACTGTATCATAAATACATCCCATTATGCTCAGATACGAAAGCAGCTCTCAATCCTTAACAGAGACACTTCAGTTTTTCAATGGACAGAGGTTTATACAGAGACTTATAACTAGTCACTGTCTAGAGAATTAGTGATTGGGGAGTATTTAGCCTTCACTGAGATATGTATCATACTCCTTTCCCTCAAGGCTCTTTGCAAGACAGTTGGCAGAAAGTAGAAGCCAGGAAATGAGAGGCAGGCGGATCTCTGTGAGTTCGAGACCAGCCTGGTCTACAAGAGCTAGTTCCAGGACAGGCTCCAAAACCACAGAGAAACCCTGTCTCAAAAAAAAAAAAAAAAAGAAGCCAGGAAATGGGGAGTACTGGAAACAAGAGTGTTATTTCAATGTGATAGGGCCATTGCCCCCCTGAACACACAGCAGCTATGATGAATACTAGGAAATTTAAAAACTCTCATCACAGGTTAAGAGGCAATTTTCCAAGGAATTCAAAATATAATATAGTGATATAAAGGGATAAAGGTAAACTAGGACAAGAAGATTAAATTGGGTTGGAAATGGTAGGACAGAGTACAGTAGGGAATAGGAGGAGGGATAACTAACTAAATACCACGTGCTTTAAAAAAAAAAAAAGGACCAGAAATGGGTTTCTTTTTGAGTCATTGACCAAACTGACTCCCATGGACACATATCCCAAACAGTACAGGCTGTTTTCAATGCAGTTGATTACCCTTCCCAATCTGACATTAAGACCATATTGCAGAAGACACTACATACGTATGTCATTGAAATAGAAAATTCTAGCTGATACTCAACTGGAAGCTTCACCACTTCTGCTTAGCATCCAAGTGCTGGAAGGCGCTATACACACTACCATGCGAGAAAAAGAGTCATCGATTTCAACCAGCTATGAACTATGTGAGCTACAATGACTATTTGCCCATAAGGTATGCCCACTGATGCAATCATGCCATGAATACTATGGGAGTATCCAACCACTTTTTTGTTGGTTGTAAGATCTGCTCCATGAGATGGAACCCATACTCAACACTGTTTATTAGATCAAAAACCCAAAACTAGATGTCATGGACCTAGAGGACACCCACTACTATTCTCAGGCTAATTGAACATAGCAATAAAATGACTCTGAATGATGCATTGCTATACCCATTGATCAGTGCATCATTCAAACCTCATCAAGGAAGTTTCTTCTTGCAGTAGATAGAAATTAAAGCAGAGACCCACAACTAGACAAAGTGAAGAGTGAGAGACTTTAGAATGCTCAGCCATAAATGGGGTCTCCAGATTACCTGCTTCCTCTCAAGGTTCGGGAGTTCAAAAAAAAAAAACCACTTAGGAACCAAAGGTATTAGATGCCCCCAAGGAAACAGCATTTTCCAGACCCAATAGGACAGATGGACATGTGAAGTCACTGAAACTGTGCCAGCACACACAGACCTACACAAGTCAGGCCAGACCTAGCCAAGAAGCTATTTGCAATTAAAAGCTG